CAGCTTCACTCACCAGCGTTAGTATTCTTAAACCACTTCTGGTTCTCCAAGTATTCTCGACCACTCCTGGCTCGTTGGCTTCACTCACCAGCGCTAGTATATTCTTCTCAGCCACTTCTGGCTAGCAGTAAGTATTCTTTGACAAGCCCCTCCGGGCTTTACAAGTATTCTTTTCCTATCCTCTTCAGGCTTTACATTGTTGGCTAGACAGATTTGGTTTGAGTGTTTGGGTTACTGTCAAGGAGATGATACATATGTTTCTACACTCACTACGGTTTGATGTTAAGATGTACATATTTTGAAATTCTGTAGTTTACTGAGACGAATACATTAATGTACTTTTGACTCTATGCGCACTGTCTCTAGTTTCGTTGAACCATGGGCTGGATATTACTTTTCTTTACGCTTGCATCATTTCGGGCCAAACAGCCTACCTTTTAAGGTTCAATATTGAGACCTATATATAGTCTTGTGAAATCTGCCCATTGCAAGTGTCCGTTGAAGCTAATGTAGTCATTCTTGACTAGTTTGATCTTCTCGTTTAATGCTCAGATTCTTGTATTAAATGTTGCTTCCTGTTCATAAACAATGCATGAAGTTTCCTTGCTCAGTTAGTAGCTGTGTCTGATTTAGCAAAGACCAAGGAACCTTTTTTGTCCTTTTTCTAGTCTCGTAGTTGTTGAATTATCCTTCTCTGGAAAAGTAATCTACTTTTTTCTAACAAATACATGCTTTTACTTCTACGCTTGATTTTCTCTTTCTTCTTTTCAACTTTTACTCGCGCAATCACTTTGAGAGCTTTTATGATCGTAGACGATGCCTAAGTTATCCTTGAAGACATAATTCCTTAAATGCTTTCATGATAGTTTTCATCTTCGTCTGTTAGTCCTATGCATCTCAAAACTTGATCTTCATCTGAGCTTTTGACTTGATGTTTTGACTCTTTTGTAGGTCTGGTCAACTTCTAGGTGTACAGATTTTGTTTCCATCTAGAGTTCCTTTCAATCTGTGTTGTCCTTCGTCTGATGTATAGTTGACTTCCTTCTATTCTTTGACCAATGTTTCGTCTAATTTATTAGATTACAATTGAGGTTGTCCTTGACACATCCTCATCTGACATTTGGTTCATAATTGTCTGGTACACATGTCATACTTTATTTATTCATATGACTTGGTTTGTTTCATCCTCATGGTGTGCCTTGCTTTGACTCATCCCCATCTGATTGACCATTTGGCTTCATCTGGTGCTCGTGCAAACTTCATGTATGCTTAGCCCATTTATGTCTTGTTCTAGATTTAACCTTGTTTTGGCCTTTTTCTTGATACTTTAATCTTCAACTTGTAGACGCCTTATTTTCGTATCTTCGACAGCTTGGATTAGACTTCATCCTTATACTTGCTTTACATATCTTGACTTTTGTGTTGTGCTTTGGTTGATCTTTGTCTGTTTGTTCGAACTTTATCTGAACCACTTGCTTTTTCCCTTGTGATATTTCCTGACTCATACAATTTGCTTTGGTACATCCATTTCGTACTAGTGATTGTTTTATTCTTTGGTATTGGAACAAATTCTTCTTGCATGACTTAAGCTTCAATCGTTTGCTTAACTAGCTTTCGTCTTAGTGTGCATGACATGTCTTCTTCTATGATCTTTGTGGACTTTAGACGCTTTTCCATATTCTTCGTCTTGTCCTCATCCATTATCTTTGGCCTTTTATCGTCTGAGGCTTCATTGTTTTCCTTCTTGTGCTGGGCTTGGCTTCGTTTGATCTCTTCATCTGATGCCTTATAGTTCTTTACCCTTTGTCTTGGTTCTGGTGTGGGAAGTTGCACATGCTCTATTCTTCATTATGCCTATACTTATATTTTTCTGAAACGCTAACACACTTGTTAGTAATAACAACATGTATTATATTTGTATCACTCAAAACCCTGCTAGGGATTGCTTCGTCTGACTCAACATGGGGTACCTTAGAACCTAGTATTTATTCTTGTATTTCTTTTGTCCTTGTAGTATGGGATGCTTAGTGTTTAGTTCGTGGGCTACTAAGGAGATTATAAGTGGTGTAGTGTATAAAAGGATCTTTTGGGCTAAGTGAGGCATTGACCCAAGTAGGAAGGCACCTAGGTTGCATGTTTTTACCATGCACCTAGTTGTAGCTAAGCTTGACCCAAAAAGATGTTACTTTTGGCCAAACCATGTGTGGCACATGTGGCACTCATTATTTCCTTCACATTTTTGAATGGAAATGATTGTTCAAATGATGACCTAGCCGTCACCACTCCCTAGGATTACATCATCCATCACTTATAAATATCCTAGGCCTCACTACTTGTAGACACTTTGGAATTTATGATATTAAGAGAGTCTTTGAGCCTTAATATCCTTCCTTAGTTTTCTTGGTCTATTCGGCCACTTTTCCTTCTCATCTTCACCATGAGTGTTTTCACCTTTAGGAGTGGCCTTCATCCATCAATGAAGTGAGCCAAAACCCTAGAGTACCATCCTTTCATTTCATCAAACACCTTGCCTTCATTACCCTAATTCGGTCATCATCATCATCAAGGCTAGAAATCTTGGAGTTCCACGATCCAAGGAGTTCGGTTCCCTCCCTTAATGCTCTTTTTCCCATCAATGCAAGGAGAAACTCATCATGTGGTATCTAGAGCCAAGGGTCTTCAAGGGTAATTTCTAGTCTAGTCATTCTTTTAAAAAAAAAAATTGGCCATGTCTTGTGTCTTCTTGATTGTCAAAAAGTTGTGCTAAAATGGATCATTGTCTTGTCATGTTTTTATGATCCATGTGTCTTCTTTTATGTATTAATTCATGCCATATCCATTCTTATGAATCATCTTGGTGTTTAGGCTTCTTTGATTAAGTTTCTACCATTTTATTTTAGGTTTGAGTTGTTGGAAAAAAAATTGGTTGCATGTGAAAAATTCATGAAAAGTATTTTTTTTAGTTTTATAATCTATCCGATTTTGTCACATAAGTTTGTATCTCTTAAATTGCCTTGAAAGAAATTCCAAGTATTCATGCTTAAACATTTTTATGATCAAAATATGTGATGGAATAACACTAAGGCCGAGAAGACCAAGAGGTGATATATTAAAGGAGGCAAGAGGAATGGGTTAGTGAGGCCACTTTTGGACCTTAGCTCCTAAGTTCTTTTTAATCATAGAATTTATTTTACTTGTATTTCCAATTTTACCCTTGTATTTTGGGGTGTTTAGGACTTAGAATTTATTTTCCCTTGTATTTCCCTTTTTACCCTTGTATTATGGGGTGCTCTAGATGATTAGGGTTTTTAATTTTGGGCTAGGGTGTTAACTAGAAGGGTGACGCATTTTTTTGGTGTTCATTGGATCTATTTTTGGTGTTAGAAAGGCTTAGGCCCAAGTGGAGGGCAAAGGTTGCATGGTCTTATCATGCACCTAGATATAGCCAATCTAAACCCAAAGATTCCATCCTTGGCCACCAAGTTGCATCTAGGGTTCATTTGCATTTCATTTGGAATGCATTTGCCTACTCCAAATGCAACCCTAGATGCCTCCCCTCCTATAAATACCCAACACCCCACACCTTGTAAATACTTTGGATATTGAATATAAAGAGAGCCTTTAGTGCCTTTATATCTTTCCTTAGTCACCCTTGGCTATTTTCGGCCAAACCCTACCATCTCCACCTTGAGAGAAACAACCCTAGAAGTGGCCTTCATCATCATGAAGTGAGCCAACCCTAGAGTACCATTCTCAAGCATTTCCTCAAACACCTTCTACCCAACCTTCATTTTCGTCCATTCCATCATCATCCACCCTAAAACCTTGGTCCACCTTTGAAGAACTTGATCCTTGGAGAAGGCGTCCTCCTCCTTGCTCATCATCTCAAGTTCATGCAAGTAAGGATGCCATCAATATGAAATGCATGTCACGTGTTTGTTGAAATGGTTGTGAGTCATAGAGTGCTTTAGAGAGTCAATCATTCATGCTAATTAGTCCTAGCATGTTCTAAATCACTTAAATGTTCATGTGTGGTTAATTTCTTTGCACATCATTGTTAAAAAAATTTCGGCCATTTTGAGTATTTCCTTGTGAACTTGATATGCTTACATATTGTTTGATGATTTGAGTATGAGATTGGTTTCTATGTGCATATTTTACTGCTAGATACTTGCACATTAAAAACTCTAAGAAACACTCAAATTATTGTCTTATTAAGCCATCACAAATTGCTAAAAAGGATGCTCCAAATTTTTGCTAATCAAACCAACAAACACAAGTGTAAAACCCAAGCAAAGGAGGAGCATAAATTCAAAAAATAAAAAAAAGGAAAGTGGTTGGAAATTGACATTAAAACCAAGCCCTATACAAGTATAAAAAAAAAGGAAGGATCAAAACAAACAAAAAGGGACCTTTGCTAGACTTATGGACTTTGGACAAATTTACCCTACCTTAGCAATTGGAGTTATTCTTGGACATTTGAAAAAGACCTAATGGCCGAATGACACTCTTAATTCAAACATATTAAGTGCAACATTTCTTTACAAATACTTGTTTTTTCAATTCTAGTGTCATTCTAGGAATTAATCTTTTGAGTGCTTGCCTTTTCTTAATGTGCTTTAATTTTAGTTTTGTGTCTTCTTTCTAATTCTTTAAGTTTATCACCTCAATTCCCCTTGAGTTTAGCCTTCCTAATTGTGCATTTTTAGTTTTATTTCTTTGGACTCTTGTACTCTTGGATGGTTTCTTCTTGATTTAGGCGTGGAAAGCTCTTAAACCCACTACATACATTTTTGGTGAATTGATTTGAGGAGTTGTCCGAATTGACCTCAAGACCTTTGGAAGCGATTCTATCATCAAAAAGAGTGCATACACTAGTGAAAGGCTAACATTGGGTGTTCCTTGTGAAGGGGTGGCAAGTTGAAGACTAGAAGATTCACTTTTCTTGTTTGAATTTCTCTTTTGCACAATTTCTTTTAGGCCACTTGTATTTTTGGCCTTTATTCCTTTTCCTTTTGGTTCGTAATTGGCCTTTCATTAAGTAGTTTTAGAGTAATTCGAGTAGTGCTTGTGGGAGTGGCTTGAATACCACCAAGGTCACTTAAGCTCCCACCCTAAGGAATCCCATTAGCACATGCTTTAGTTGCTTTCTTTACATTCCTATTGCTTTGATAGTTTAATTGCTTATGTTTTTACCTTGCTTATTTTCGTTTAGAAGGCTTCAAGTTGCCTATTAGGGGTTCGTGCATAGACACACCTAATATTTGTGCCAAAATTGTTTTGTGAGAAAGGTATAATGAGGCTTAGTGATTTTTACTTGAAAATGCTTGGTTATTAAGTGATTCTTTGTAGTCCACCTCCCTTGATAGTTTAATTTGTACACTTAGGCCTTCTAATACTAATCTTACACCTTAAAACCATTTTGTGAAAATCTTTTATCACTCACTCTGTGAAAAACTTTCAAACTCTATTGTGAAAACCTTTTCTTGATCAAAGATGAGTGATCATTCACGTAGTAAAGAGGACACCCTTTAGATATGACACATGGAGCAGTTGGACATGAAGCTAAAGGGCACCCATCTGGGTCACTGCCCCACCAGTTAAGGCTGATATACTCCATCCCCAAACACAAGTAGAGCAAAACCGCCATGAAGGCTAACCCTGCTTCAAGTGCACCAGACAACACATAGTTGTGTCGGCTCCACCAACCACGATAGTAACGATATACAACAAACCCTGATACAAAGCCAACAAGGACCCAACTAGTGTAGTTCACTGCTGTGGCTGGAGGCATGACAGCTATTGCTCCCAAGAGCACAGGCACATTGATGAGCCTAATCCACTGTTTCTGAGGGAAGGCCTTGTGTGCTAGCCAAACTAAGAAAGGTGCAATGGCTCCAGCCAAGAAAAACCAGTTTATGGCTGAGTAGTGTCCAAGATCTCCAAACATTCTACGTGGCCCTATCAAACCCCATGTTACAGATATGTCGTAGAACACGTGATCACCAGGGCAAATCCATGGACTACCTGCTGGAAGCAAATCTCTCTCACAGATATTTGGAACAGTGCTCATGAGCCACCATGCTGTTAGTAAATGCACCACTGCAGATATTATGGTGCCAACTACCTGGAGAGGAAGAAGGGCATGTAAGGTAATGATAATTGATTATTACTTACGAGACTATTTACTATTAAATTTTGCAACTCCATGTTCGATTCCTGTGTGCAAAAACAGTTTGAACCTAGCAGCAATCACAGTAATAGGTTGGGGAAAATCTTGGCAGCACAGAAAAATGAACTTCATTTCGTAAACTGATTTTGCAAAAGCAACTCTTCCTTTCTTTCCATTGAAATTGAGTTTCAAGGCAAAATTGTGCAAAACTCAGTTTATAATATGATTCAACTAAAATTCAAACAAGAAGACTTTTCAGTTTTAATTTTTGAATGTGGGAGACTCCCAGCTCAAAACCAAACATGCCCTTAGAGAAAGAAAAAAGAAAGGTATCACTTCTCTGTTTTCTCTCAGCTTTTGATAAGGAAGACTAGGTGCAAACCTGTGCTAAGAACATTTCTTTAGGAGGAATCTTCATGTAATGGCCAAGCTTAAAATCTTGTAAAAAGAAAATCGCCTGCT